GTATGATACATAATGTACCTGAATAAGCAGGCCCAACTTAGGGGGGCTAGGGGGTTGAAGCCCGGGCAATGATATTGTTTGGGGCCCTGGGCCCCTGTTGATATTGTATTATTAAAGTGGCACTCAGAGCCATATTTACAATTTTTGCGCCCTGGGCCAATCATAATTTTACGCCCCCCACCCCTCCAACCAAAAAATAGATCCACTTTTTTGATTTTTCTTAACACATTTTTAGTTAAAATTCTTAGTTAAGTCATGGTTGTCTAATGTCTATCTACAACCGTGATTATGTTAAAATAATATTAATTATATTCTATGCTAGGCGCTAGCACTTATCCGTTATCGTTGCACTGTTAAGTTCACAAGGGTCGAGTTATAGTAAATTCTTTCCAAAAAAAAAAATTATTATTGATACAATACTACACCGAGTTACCATGGGGGGTCCGGCCGCCCCCTAAATGGATCAATATTTATCCACCCGGGGCAAATGTCCCTATTGCTCCTCCCTAAATACGGCCCTGGTGGAAATTGTATGATATTATTGCTTACGTAGTTACGGCCGCTTACGGGAAATAACTAACCAACACACTTGATTTTTCAGATCTAATTCAAAAGTTTAGTGAAGTAAAATCTAGAAAAACCGTTGTCTTAAATTCAAAATCATGAAAAATTTTTTTTATTTTCCTCGACTATGTTGAAAAATGCATTACCACTTTGACTTTGTGTATATCAGTAAACATTTGTTTAACTTAAAAACTGTATTCACACTTCTTTACTTATATTTATATTTTTAATTTCATCGTCTTATTTATATTAATCATCATTAAATAATTACGTATAGACTTATAGTATAATTTATTTACAATCTTATAAAACAAATTGAATATAAAAAATCCAAAATAATTTTTATGAGCGTCTGAAGTAAATATTTTGACAAAATTCATCAAAATCACAAAAATTAGCAAATTATTTTGAGTTAGAAATTCATATACAGAATTTCCCTTACATTTTCCTACATTTATCAAAATAAAGTTTGCCTGAAAGTCAAATTATTTTTTTACGGGCGTTTGAAGTTAGACATTATATCATATTTTGGTATTCACCCATAAATTAACAGATCCTCATACAACGATTGTCTTATTTTGTTGCTATTATTATCGATAGGTATTTGAAATTTTCATAAAATGTTTATTATTTAATTTCCTATACGGCTGTACATAACACAATTTCAAAATAGTTTGACTTGTTTTGAGTTATTTATAGATATTTAAAATTAAAATTTTTTTTTATTTTTTTATTCTATAAGTGTCAATAAAATTGTATTCGTTGGGTCAAAAAAATAACTTAGTGGTATGAGAGTGTCGATTTATATTCATTTTCTCTCGGAAGATGATTGGTGTATAGATCGTTGATGGGTATAGAACAGAATAATCCATATCTCGGACACATCGATGGTCTATAGATAGAACTCGAAATAAGTAAATTCAGTAAAGATTAGCAATTTTTTCTAACCAGTAAGCTTGTCAAGTGTAAATAATGAAAGCGTGTCTTAATGCTATATGTATCTATGTGCATTGTACATGTATAATGAGTATAATACAATTAACTATTTTTAAGATTTAATATTCTTAGATATAAGTATGTATTAGATTAAAGTTTGTATAATAAAACATCCAATAAAATGTTCTTGAATTTACGACTTTTGGTTATTTTGTTGTATCCAGACTTTCATATTTCGTTAATTCGGACAACCTAAAGCCCTAGGGCACGAGCGGTGTGCTTAAGACCAACGGGTAGATTCACTATACCAGGCTTGGTGTCGTAGATCTAGAAACGTGGTATCGGAAATGGAAGTCGGTCACGGGAACAGCTAGTCATTGGCGCTGTGAGTGGGGACTCGAGATCATATTGAGAAAAGGAACATAAATATGAAAGTTGCAGAAGTCGAATACAGTATAAATCACCAAACGAATACAAAATAAAAATAATAATGTCGAATACAAAACAAAAGGACGGGCTTTGCTCGAGGTAACCATCCGGAGGGTGCACGAGAAGATAATCCATCCATTGCCACCACAGTATTATATTATTATACCTATTGGACAGGCAAAACTTTCTGTACAATATCCATTATAATTAATAATAAATTACATTATATAACATATCTTCTTCACTTGAAATAGTTGAAACGATTATTTAAAGAACGCATAAATATACTTTGTTGATATTAGCTTGTTGGCACTTAGGTGCCTACCTAGTTATAATACCTAAGCAATAAATGACGAGTCAAGTTGGAGTAGGTGAGTCGGTAGTGTATGTAATCAGTAATCACAGATTAAATAATGATTTATTTAATCTGTGATGCAATGCTGTAAAACAAAGACAATTTTTATGGGTTTAATTGATTAGTATAAAATATAATAAAATATTTTTATTTTTATCAAGACAGCATAGTCCCATGAATTACATTACACTTTTCTATAGGTAGCTGATTAACTCGACTTCGATCATGTACAGTTTTCTTTTGTGTTATAACTTCTGATTTAATATTACAGGTAGAGATTATCTTTAAAGTTAACATCATTAGACACCATTATTGATATTATTATTTATTAGATCGCCTTGATTTATTAAAAATAGTTGATTCTGGGTACATTTCTAAAAAGTTATTAGGTATAACATTGGATTTTAACAAGTAGAAATATTGCATTACAAAAGTAAGACAATTTTCATATCTTGTAGATAGCATATTGTACAAGTACCTATTATTTATACAATCATCAGCATTTTGTTGTTTTGTTCTTATTAAAATAAATAAAATAACTGTAAACGGGGAAACATAAAAACTTGTATATAACCTAGATAGTATACATAAATAAATTACATTAATAAATTGTTATAAGCTTTTTACAGTCATAAATTACTTAAGTTGGAGGTTCCCAAACTTGTTTGGTTTAACATACCACTCATGTACATTACAGATCAGTCATATAGATACCCCGACTAATAGTACCAATGACTAAAAAAAATATCTAATTTAAATACTTTTATAACAATGTTAATAAATTATTTAAGTACATCTAACAGTATCTTTAGGAATTTAGCACTTATTAAAACTAGACATAAAATAATATTAGATACGTTACAAAAATCAGTCAACTAAGTGAACGGTGAATGAATTTAGCAATTAAACCATATAATACGAGGTTAATATTGATATTAATTTTAATAACTAAAAATACATTTTCTATTTCATCATACAATTGATATGATTTTTTTAAATTTAAAGGGTATTTTCAAAAATATATGGGATAAATATAATTTATATTATGAAAACATTGTAGTTGTCAGCAAATTAATTTTTGATTGAAATAGTTATTCAGTTATTATCAAGTCAATGTTGGCAAAATAAAATGTTTTTTTTCCTTTTTTTAAGTTCACAATTAAAGTGATGGATATTTTAATTCAGAAATGGATAAAAAAAACCTAAGTATTTGATTTTTTTTAGAGGAAAAAACTGTTTGGGGTAATAACAATCAAAGCCCTTTTCTTTCAACTAATTTTCTTTTATGATATAGATATATATTTTTTAGAAAATGGTAAAAACTTCACCACCTGGCGTAAACATGTAAGAAAGCAACAATTTTAATCAAAATATTAAATTAATTCTGATAAATTGCATTAAAATGGTTTTATGGATTCACTATTCAATAATTTATGTTAAAAAAGCATAGAGAACGTCAAGCACTATTTTTTAATTGTTTCCTATCTTACCTATTCGTAAAATAATTTTATTTTTTAAGTGGAGAATAACATTTTTGAGTGAATCTCATCAGACATATTTAACTGTCTAAATATTGTCTCTAAACGATTACATATATTATTTAATTTTAATTACAGAAATTAATTTTTTTAATTTTAAGTTGAATACTAACTCAATATAAAATTTACATGTCAAACACTCAATAATATTATCCTCCTATAATTTTTAAGTAGGTGATTTTATTCTATATCTAAAAAATCATAAAACAAACAATTTTACACGAATGTGTTTATCTATGTTGAGAGTGAACTCATGAGAAAACAAACATTGCGATGACATCTGTATTCGCCTAACGACAGGAGGACAGACCAAAGAAGTGACAACCGAGACTAATTTGAAATATTTTCAATTCGTTCGAATGCTCCTACTAATAAAGGTGATAGACCACTTCACATGCTTAAGGGGCGTGAAAGTGATTGAGCAAAGAACAGTAACCGACATTGGTTTGAAAGTACAAGAAATTAAAGACTGTTGAGTTTAGTGGTCCAGAGGTGGTCTATCTGGTAGGATGCAATGACAGAGAGTTCAATTGCAATAGTTGGGTAACTTAACAACTACTTAATTTGCTATATATATATATACAGCTGGTGTCTTGAGTTGACGGCAATCCAGTAGTGAAATAGGTCTAGATGTTCTGGGCGGCCTCTCACACAATATACACGTTTGTGGCGGAATTACGCATAGGCACGCTGTAGGTGGTGACGTCAACTTCGAGAATCCAACACTCGACAGTCGATGATGCATAAGTGGAAGGCAAAATGATTGTCTCACCCAGTCAGCGTCTTCCCTAAGCCTACCCTGGCACTATGATAATGTAGAAATATTGAAGTTTGTAAGACTACTCACAAATTCATAATGGTTTGATAGGTTTATTTTGATTAACCTTGCAATGAGGATATTACGTTTATATATTCACAAAAAATACCAGTGTAAGGATTACTGAAGCATATGCTAATAATAATAATAATCAATGTATGTGCACAGTGCAACCTTATAAAATAATATAGAAAAATCAAAGTAATCGAAGACAATACCGGAAATACAATAACGCAGTATATCATAATATAAAAGTGGTGTTGGCAATGGAAAGTAAACAAAATCAAATAATGACCAGAGCAATGATAATAAATATGAGACAAAAGGCCAACCAATTGGTTATCACACGGAGAACACGAAGTATAAAGAGAATAAATACATATATATTATAAAATTCAACAATTAAAAAAACTGAGTGTTATATAGATGAGAATAGAGATGTCTCTGTAGAGCAGAGTAACGTCCCACAATAAGAGAATTGCTTGGAGGGAACAACATCCTCTTAAATGTATTTCTTTACTAAATCACTAAGTTGGGATTTTCATTATTATTTATTTATGTTGATTAATCTTCTACCAAAAGTTACTATAGCTTAACAATTAATGGAATAACAAAAGAAGTCATTAAAAAGTAAAATACCTGTTAAGTATAACTACACATTTAGAAATTGTATACTCAAATTATAGATGCATGTGTCTTAAACTATTTTTTATTGAATATTTTTTCTATTATTATCTTAAATATCAGCCAATTTGTATTGTTTCACTTATCCTACAACAATTTGATTTACCCTACTAGATTTTCAATTATTTTGGTATACAAATTATGATATTACGAAGTAGACATTTTAAATAAATAATTAAATCTTATTTATATAATAACACAAGATTATTCTAAAACAGTTACATAATTGCATTCTTTTCAACTTATTTGTCCTTAAAAAAATATTTAGAAACAATAAAATGTATTTATTTATATGTTATGTTTCTTGTTTTTAGTTTTTATTCTACAATAGTCGACAGATTTTGGGAAATTATGTTTTCAGAAATGGTGCTTGGGAAGAAATAACATTTTTGTAACAAATTTTTATAATTTATGTATAAATGCATGATTGAAATTAATTATAAATTTATATCTATAATTTTACATTAAATAAAGGAATTTAAATGTATTGAAGTTTTTAAAAATAAATGGCCAAAAGAAGGAAACTAATCTTAGTTGTTTGAAAAAATTGGATACGCATTATTCATCCAGTTTGTATGCCAATCAACCGCCCGAAATTTATCAATTTCTTTGAGAAATCTACTTTGTTTTTCACAGATCTCCGAAGGGAAGTTTTTAAACCATGTCATAATGTGCAATGCAAGCTGATTTCCATTGGAGAATATAAGACCATTTTCGTTGTGTCGAACTAATTCATTTAAGCTGAAACAAATGAAAATTTCTTAAAACCTTAAAAAATTTGCAAGTTTAATGTAGCAATACTAGAATTTTTTATCTATTAAATAATTATTACCATTTAAAATCATATGCACAGACAGGTAAACCAACACCATACATATCGATCACTTTCATGGGCAAGTCTAAACCACTCGAGGACGCATGTAAACACACACCAAGATCAGCACACGCTGAAATTATTCATTAAATATATTATACAAAATATAATTTATCTTATTTTAATAATTCTGTGATTTTACCCAAAAGAAGTGGATAGTCATTATTTTCAAGCCAAGGTGTAATGATTGAAACTTTTTTCCACTTCAAATTTAAAATCATATGTTGATAGTGACACTTTAATGGGCCTCGCCCGGTGATAACACATATGAGTTTTGGGTAGATATCATCACTTTCATCGTATTCTGAAACAGTCAATGTATATTATATTGTGGTGACCTAGTTATCTCTTAAGATTAATAGATTTAAACATACACATAACAAAATAATCCTCAACAGTTACCCAAAACCACTTCTATAGCACAAGAAAAGTTAAGAATAACAAATACATTCAAACATAGTGATCATCCATTCAATTGACTATAATAAATCAGTAATTTATGTAGGTAATTGTGTGTATACTTTGTAGAGCTTTCAATAGAATAGAGAAATCTTCATCTGGAGTCCAGCTAGTACTGGACACAAGGAGACTAGGCCGGTTGGATTTTAGTCGTACCTCTCCAGTTTCTGATAACTCAGTGAAACTGTTTAAATTCATTTTTTTTAGTAAATTATGTTTTTCAGTTAATGTAATTGTTTTAAACTGTGGTCCTGGGCGATCATACAGGGTTGTAGCTCTAAAATAGATACACAAAATCGATATTTTTATGACAATTTCTAAAACAGAAATATTTTAACCGATAAAAACTTACTTGATATTCCATTTTTTATGCAGGTCATCTTTCATTGCTTTAGTAACACATAGATTAAAATCAGCCAATCTGCCAAAAGTGTGTTCGTACAATAGTGAGAGTTTTACCAGAGGTGCATCAGAACCCAAATTCAGGGCAAGTATTGAGTATGCATAGTTATGCCAGTCGATTATAAATTTTGCATTGACGAGCAGACAGTAATACCAGCAAACAGCGAGTGTCGGAATCGCAGGTGGATTTTGAACTATAACGATATCGGATTTGCGTTTCATCAATATGGCCCAGAACAACGTCAGTGTTTGCCATACAACTTTGAATAGGAATGCTATCATCTGTGGAACATCTGTGGGATAAAAACACAACATTAAGTCGCCAATCAAATGTGACTCACACCTCAAGCAGTTACTACAGTCTATGACCATGTGGGGGGTGAGAGGATAAACGACGATGGACATGGTCAAGGTAAATAGATTTTTCGAAAATGAAGTTATCAATTGATCGACTATCGAAAATCGGATTATTTATATTGGTATGGGCGAGCACCAAATGACATAGATTGAGGTTTATACGTAGATACTTACATTGGTCGAACGGAAACGGTCTACGAACACCGATAATCGTGGCGTTCTCCTTTAGGTCGTCCAGCACAGGGCTATCAGTGTACCCGACGATGTCGACATCGAAACCTTGGAGGATCAGAGACTGCGCGTGATACTGCATTCTTGGGCTCCGGCCTATGTCGCCCAAGACCACCACGCAGACCCTCTTCTTTCCCATTTACACGGTATCCTCAGGAATCGTTAACGGTTATGACGGTCGCATGTCCGAGCACAGCTTTCGGTGAACTCGGCGGATAATCGAAACCGAAGGATTTCGAAGCACCAGAATGATCGATGGTAGACTCAATATCGTTTTTTTACTTAGTAGCCAGGACTTTTGGATCCAGCAGATTGCAGCAATCGGATTGAATGTGTTTCATACAGTAATCAATTATACTAATTAATAAAGTTAAAGTGTATATTTTAGACTTTTAGAGCCTAAGTTAGTAAGTTATGGCAATGCAGAGACTGTACAAAATAAATAAACGATAATAGTTCGAACTTCAGTTATCAGTTATCACTTAATACGAAGCATTTGAAAAGCAAAAAATATATGATCGGTAATGACATTTTGGTACTCTTACAAATTGTATTAAGATGTGAATTATTATTTATAAGATTATTGATTATGTGTTTGTGAATTTCTGATATTTAAAGAATACCATATTATTAGGTATTATTATTAATTAGTATGCAACAAAATATCTGAGTAATATTTATTAAAATAATATTAAATGTCATGTGAATAAAATGATGTACGTTATCTAAGATAACGACGATGTTGTTGTTATCTCTTGTTGTTATCACGAAAATCGACAGTTTGTTTATCGCTCAATTTGGGCATACTTCGCGTTATTATCATAGTGACAACATAGTCTATGGTTATTATAATTTATAGGTACCTCTGCGCCAGGCCGATAATCAATTCAGTATTTTTCCTTTTGTTATCCGTATAGGCACGCACAACATACTCTTTTTGTACAAAAGTAGTTTGAAAAATTTATCATTATTTTTGTTATTTTTTTCACTCATCTAGTATGCCTCTTAAGTGTTTTGTGCCCGGGTGCAGCTCAGGTACACCCAAACAAAATAAAATATATCAAGAGCAAGGTATGAAACGGCCTTCGGTATTTCATCCTCCCGAGGTACAATATTTGCTATACTAATTAGTAATTATTAATTATTATATTATTAACCTATAGGTACTATTTATTTATCGAGGACCTTAATTATTTTTTGATTTATTTTCATACAATATGTTCAACCAGTGGGTGGCTGAAATATTAATTCTGAAAGACGCAATTTCATATTATTTTCTTATAACAAAATTATGATGTAAATAATAGAGTCAAAAGAGGCCAAGGGGACGCTAGACCGTAACATAGACTTAGGCGGCACTGCCTCCACCGTTTTGAAAAGTTGACTCAGCAGTTTCAAAATTGATCATTTTGGCCTGCCACTGTGTATAACAAAAGGCTGCGAGGTGTTTATCATTATTATTTTTTTAAATTACCAGCTTACATGTAATTATACTTATGGTGGTCAATGATCATAGATACTTTTTTTATTTCATTTTAGTTAGGTGTCCTTAACAACAGTGTTAAGAGTGGGGGTTTCGTGCACCAAATTTTACCCTTTTATTTTAAAATATCAATATTATTATTGTCCATACTTTAAGTATTAATTTATATTTTTTAATGTAATACTAAAATAATTGCACATTATTAATTTATGATTTATACCTACATAATATAAATAACATATTTTTTTAAACAAGATGACCTAAAATACACATTAAAATATGCTAAAAAAAAAATTCAAAAATTCCCTAAAAACTCTAAAAAATGAACTAATGAAATTACAAAGAATGTACTCAGATGAGTGAAAAAATTTAATTTAAAAATAAATATTACTATAAATTATTATTTATTGATTTTTATGCTTCACAAAAAAGGTGACAATTTGTTTTAAGAAGTAAATCAAACAAATACATTCAAATTTAAGTTGACTTGTGAGTTTAATTAATTACATTACTTTTTCGATTCATACCCATTTTGTCAAATCCCAATTCGTTGATAACTCAGTTTGCCAACAAATATAACAGTTTTAAAATATTTTCAATATTATTTTATTAATATAGTTTTAACTTTCCCCATTCGCAGACAGGTGACAATAATTTTATCGAAAACGGGTATAACAGCGATAATATGGTATGTTGCCAATCTAAGTTCAAAGGTACTATTTTCATAAGAGTACTATAGGTACTAATTGAGATTACCTATACAACATATATAAAAAAAACTTTAAATAAACAAAAATTAGTTTAAATACACAAATTGAACGTAATATTTGTAAACATGATCTTAAAAATGCTATAAAATGAATTTAACACAAAAAATGCAGAAAAAATGGGAAATAAAAAATTACACATTCTAAATTGTTGTATCACGAAACAAATTTAATTTTTGGTTAGAACTGGATAGCACTTTAAAAAAAATCAAGTTGCCAAAATCCTTGCTTTAGTAATAACTAGTATGTACTTTTTTTAGAATTTTATGTGTAGTCACCATAATTATATTTGCTGATGTTTAAAAAATGTATACTATTAGTAAGCTTATTAAGTGGAACTAGAGATCATGAAAATTTAGTTCTAAAATTAAAGGAAAATATTAAATAAATCTATTTATTTATATTATATATATTCAATGAAAAGTTCATATTAATGCAAATAATTCATTACTTTTCAGAAAATGATTGATACTTGGAATTTAAAAATTTCACGAGCTGATAGATCGTTAACCAAAAAAGATGGAGTATGTGAACTGCATTTTGTTTCTGAAGATATTATTTCATGTAGAGTTTTTGAAGATACAGCAGGAAATGAAATGAAATATGAGCTTAAGAAGGTTATTTTAAACCCAACTGCTATACCTTGTATTTTCCCTAATTTACCTTCTTGTTTCAACAAAAGTAGTAAAAAACGAAGAACTTCAACAGAAAGGTCAACAAGTCCACAAAATGTTAAGAAGAATAAACCCAGTGACATAAATGTAAGACATTACACAATATAATATCACATTCTTTTATAAGTTTAAATAATATTCATTACATTTTTACAGGCTGTGAATGAAACGATTGTTAGCCCTCAATTAGCCACTGAAGTAACAGATAATTATACAATTGAATCATTAAGGTATAATGTCCATACTGATGCGAATAATATTAAACTACCAGGTGCAATGTGGGGGCTGCATACTGATTATTCAGAAAAAACACTTTTTACTCATATCAAAGACATTTCTAATGATAAATGTGTTATGTTTACTACCCCCAATGTAGCTAAGGTAAGTATTTTACAATTAAAAGAGTAAATTTATCACATTCAATATTCATATATTGTCATAAATGCACAATATAGGTATATATAAGAGAGAAAGAAACTCAAATTGAAGAATATATTGAAAAACGTGATGATATTGAAAACCTATTGAGTAAAATTGATTTGTTAAACATTTGTCCTGGTATTAATTCGACAAAAACAAATCAATGGTCTTCAAAATGTATGCTATATGTGGAAGATGAATGTGTTCGATGTAAATACTGTCAAAATCTTGGTGAATACATGAATAGAAACAAAAGCCAACAGAAACCAAAATTAAAAATATAATTTAAATATAAATAAGTTGTGCAAACAAGAAGACTTTCTAATAAGGTTTTAATTTTAATAATTCAAAAGAATTTTATTTTATTTTTATTTTAAAATTTGTTAGTATATTAAATTTATAATAGCTCATATATCAGGTACCTATATTTGATGAAAATGAAGATCAATCATTTCAAACAAAAATTTAAAAGAGAAGAAAATGGGTCGAATTACTAAAGGTGAACCTCAGATACAACAAGATTCAATACAAATATTGTGTCTTGTCTTCTCGGATAAGCCATTTTGGGGATCATGGATACAAGCCATTGGTGCTTTTTTGAGCAGAGTTGCAGCTCCAAACAATGTTTTGCAAAAATGTATACAGTTAAACCTACGTTGTTGTCTATTTGAAAATTCTGGGTTCCAACTTTCGAAGTACATAATATAGAAACGATGGTCCATGTAATAGAGGTATATGGAATACATTTGGTGTAACTATTTCACATTTCAGCCGTCAACATCCTGTACAATATTATCAAGACATGTGGACCAGAGTAATGAAAAACAGAATGTTTCAGGTATTAACACTTTTTTATTCAGACTTAATGAACAAAACTATTTAAAGCTCTTTTTGGATACGTCATGTTATACTAATTATTTAAATTTCATATTTTTATCGCCATTAAGTTTTATCCGTTGAATTTTCCTCTGCCAACTGTGTCCTTTATTAACTATTAACTTTTTATTATAACTTATAAGTCTATGTTGAAACAGATAGAAATTTAAATTTTTGTTTTTTGTCCTGGCTTCGTCACGCTTTATAAGCATCACTTTATCTATAGAATGAATAATATTTGGGCGGGAAGAATTAAATGAATTATTTCATTTTTCATGGAAAGATTTGCAATTGTTTGTGTGTTGTTGATGATAAATATTTCGCTCTTATTTCTGATGGAAAGTCAGAGTCATTCAGTATATATGATTCTAATATATAGTCCGTGGATTCTAATATTTGAGCATGAGGCAGTTGTATTGACATAATGACCAGTAAAACAGTTTTCAACATCTTGTGGATTTAAGAAACAAAGTTGAAAAAAAGAGTTTTAAAAAACTACTTATTTCAGTATTTTTTTTCTTCTATTGGTATTAAGCCTAACTTTATCGTAGATAGAATCCTACGCCCTTTTATTGGAATAGAAAGCCAGACAGTATTTGCAGCAGCATGTCATACATTCAAACATGGTTGAATTGCATGTCATATTTCTGAATTCTTCTGCTAAATGTTGAAATGCATCAATAAAACAATTAGTTGACATTGGTGTCAATAAAAAATAAACAAGTGGGATATAATTATTATTTATAACATCGTAGGCGTATCTAGACTTTAAAGTCTAGGGGACTTCAGCCCTAGCATTTTTATAATAAGTAAATTAAGTGGAAGGCTCCATCCTCCACCCACTATCCCCAAAACATGTAACATTAACTAACAATAAATATTTTATTTTATTATATTATTATAGCGTGTGTTTAATCCAAATCATAAAAATGTGAAAAGTGGAGATTAATGGTAAACATTAAATTATTAAAATTTATTATTTTATTTACAAATTCAAGTTTTTAATTTAATTTTCTTAAAATATTAGTGAAATTTAAAGAATTTATATGGATAACAATTAACATTATAATAATACACAAGTGAATACGGTTTAAGCCTCCGCTTAAGGTTAGGTTAGGTATCTTTTAAAAATCTTTTCTTTATTTAGAACATTTGATAAATCTCTTTCACGTTAATAATTATAATAAACATTATACTCGTACTACATTTTAAACATTATCAATTTGGTAACATAGTTGATCTCATATAATTATTTATTTGAACATTGCTGAAAATGTTCTATCAATAAATGCTGATCTTGTTGGAACAGAAAGTGATAAATGTAGCATTTTATATAAATTTGAAAAAACAAATTTTTGAGCAATGCTCTTTAGTCACTTTAAATTGCCTGGATGATTGCTAATCTTTTCTAATAATTAATTGATTATTTAACCCACATTTCTAACTTTAATTCAGTTTCATTTATTTTATATTTAATCAATTCTAAATACTGATATCACAAGTACACAACTATACCTTATCCTGGGATACATTTCAAAGAAAAGTAGATAGAACGAAGACAAGCTCTAGATATGCTCTTGATAATAATCTTACCCCTGCATTTTATAATGAATCAATTCACTCTAATTTTAGAATTAATGTAAAATGTACTATATTGTACATTTGTAAGACCGGAGACACCACATGTGAGTATGAGATCCTCTTAAGTGGCGAACAATTTAGAGAGTATCTAGTAGATAAGAGGAAAACACTTCCCACTAAAAGTCATTATATAGCATTTACTTAGATTGAGGGCTAGATCTAATTTTATAACAATTTTAAACATTTTGTGTTTCAGTATTGTTGGGGTTGCCACTTTCAATATTAAAAAAAACCATGACTTAAATCTGACGTATACAAGAGCGCAAGAAGCAAGAGTCAAGGATTATCAAATCAATAATGAACATATATGTGAAAGATTCAATCTTACAGGATGTTTGATGCCTAAAAAAATTTGTGAATTAAGTTGTCTTGGGTGGAACCCTTTGATGAGAAAAATACAATTGTTTTTCAAAACCATTATAAAAAATTAAATATCTGGTGAAGTCATATTTTAAATAATAATAGGCTATTACTTATTTGTATAAAGTTATTAATTTAAAATTTTCAATGTACTATGTATTATTGTCCATTTTATTTTGGCCCGTTTTTCAATGTTAAGGTTTTGTAATTCCATCATATTAACAGACTTTAAATGAACTGTTTAAAAGTATTTCACGAAATTCGTGCTTACAATTTATATTAATTTGTTGTAATAATGTAATATACTAGGTATATAGTAATTGACGATTGTATAAGTAATACATTTATGATTTTATTTAAAGTATTTTTATGAGAGAAAAATTAATTGTTATGTACTCGTGATTTATCTTAGATAATGACCCGTTTTTAAAATTACACCAATGGGTGTTACAAGGCACATTTTTGTTATTTAAGTGACAGTCTAAATTATGAGCTTCTTTAGTGTTCCTGACTATAGAAAATTCAGTTGAACACTGTGAACATTTTTTTTTGTATTAACTGCAAATATTTGTTTAGTTTGTACACATATTATTTCCTATTATTTGAAAATAATATGTTTCTTAGAATTTAAAATAAATAAATAATCTTAGTACTAGATAGAATATTTTTTAAATTTAATACCTACCTTAGAAAAATGTAATTATTCATTGTGAACTATTTAAATGTCAGAAAGACTTAAATAAATAGTTAATGTCTTATCAAAAGTATATCTATCTATTTAATAAAATAACCATTTATTAGATAATTGGCAAGAAATACATACTATAAATTACAGTTCACATAAACTGAATTGTTATTAGAAAATAATGAAAAATTCTTACCTACCTATTTTAATTTTAGGTTATTCATATTGTATTACATTACCTATTACACAAAATAATACACTGATTTTTTTTGTTGGTTTGATATGCAAAGTATAAAAGCTTGCTCGGTGTCTATCTCCAAATCACATTTATTACAAAAACTTCATTTTTCTCAGAGTTTCTACATTTGCCTTAGAATAGCCCATCATAGGTTATAATATGTTGGTACGTTATCACAGATTCTGTTAATTATGGTATACAATAATTTGGGCAAAGCGTAGGTAATGATAAAATTGATAGAAGTTTCAGTTTCTATAATAATGATTAAAAACTTGATACCTAGGTAATATAAAGATATACCTCAAAAAACAAAACAATAAATAAACCTGTTCAATCGTTTAGGATTCAAAGTATATTTTACGTGATTATGATTTGTGTAAGAACAAGCGGCACAACTATTTCTTGTCTCCGTCGTACAAGTGCGAAACATGGAAAATGTACCCTCAGCTGCAGTTTTACCACATTTATTAGTCATAAGTATGGCTAGGATTTGCATGCAATAAAAAATGAAAAATATGCATTAATACTGTAAAAAAAGTATGAAATATGCACAAAAAAAAAAAAAATTACAAGTTTTAAAATTAATAAAATATTATTCTTAACTATTTACGCTATTCAAATGTATGGAACGAAACAATTAGGTGCATCGTGTTTTAATTTTTCAAAAATGAACAAACTTTTGTTAGACCTCAATATATTATGTTCTTATATTTACTAAAACCGTTCGACACCACATGACGTGATTTTCACGTATCTAAATTTTGTAACTTCCCTTTAAGTTAGACTCGGGAAATCTTCATACACAGTAGTGCCATTCAAAATGTTACACATCGCATTCATAGATTTCAGTCCTCCATTTTTTTAATTTTTTGTTGACTTTTTCAGAAACTGTTTCTTTATTTTGGCCAAAATATACCATAAAACATGCAATTATCGTGTTCTACAGTCGAAATATGTAATAATGATCATTTTATTCAAATATTCAATAATATGCAATCATCGTGGACATTCGTGGACATTATTGATAAAAATAATAGTCAGAAGTTGCAAAAAAACCATACTATTGCTTATAAATCCTAGCCCTAGTCTTATGTCATTAAATTTAAAATGTAAAGTAATGTGATATAGTATAATACATGTACCTATATTAAAGTACCTACTCTCCAGTATACATTTTAGTTACCAGGATAATATGATGTATTGATGTGGTATACGACTAGTAAGTAATCTAAAAGTTCTGGACAGTAAATAATATTGCTCCAAAGCTTGTACGAATATTGTACCTTAATTTTTTATGGAGTATAGATACCTTCAGCTTAACCCAAGCAGCTAAGTAACCCGTTTTTACGGTAACTATTTTAGAATATATTATTAAAAAAAACTTTGTTCTAACTCATAACAGAAAAACTAAATAGGACATAAAAGTAATTATTGATATAGCACACAATGATTAAACGCGATAAAGCCATATAATTAATTTACCCTTATAAACCTTGCCCACATTTGATAATCATGCTGCATGTTTTCAGAATCTAATAAATACATTTGTTCAATAACCACAGAGCACAACCTCTTTTTAAGGGGTTTTATGCAAGCAAATTTAATGACATTTTAAGAAAGCTTCAAGTTTAAATACTTTAGGAACTTATAAAGTTAAAAAATAGTCCCATTTCCGTAGCATTGTTGGTTGATGTGTAATTACGAGATTATAATATAAGAAGAAAAGGGAATATAAGTAGAAAACAAGATCGTGGGAAAAATAACTGGCACAAGCTAAGTAAAAACATAATAACAAATCTTTGGTATCAAAATGTTTAGAACTATTTTCTGAAGCTGGTGCAAAATGCGATTCAATTATATTTGATTGCGCACTTTCAAATCTTGGCATGTGTGTATAACTGGAGCAAACGTCTATTATTATTCAGAAAATTATCAATCCTGGTTCTATGATCCTGCCAAACCACTAGAAAAAATATTTGTGTTCTTCGACGCTGCTGATACGCTTGGGCTTGTTAGGAACACATTAAGAGACGACAAT